CCCCAAAACCCCAAAACCCCAAAACCCCAAAACCCCTTAATTTTATAAATATATTGAAGCCAACTTCAGAAGAAATCCTACAAATCTCAGGCTGTCTTATTAGAGTATTAAGATGCAGGAGCTTCTTCCTTGGCATTCATGATCTCTGGGTACACTTTCCTATACCATGCAAGTGTTTCTTTGTCGTTATTAAAGTATTTGGCAAATCCAACAACTTCTTTCTTAATCAGGACACCCCCTCTGTTGACAAAGTGGTGGGCTGGAGCATTAATCAAGTTTTCAGGAAGTCTCTCGTTCATATGCATTCTATACTTTTCTCTGTAATAAATTTTCTTTGCTAGGATGAATCCGAAGATGCCAAAAATAATTGCTGTCGAAAACTCTCTGTTCTTGAAATACCTCATTTCAGGATCGGCATCAATTGGGTGATAAGGTCTAGGTCTATCTCTTCCATGACTCTGCTCAAGAGATTGTAATGCAGAAAATTGTTGTGTATCTAAATGGTCAATTCTCTGGCCATCTCTCTCCATTCTCTCTAACTCATTATGACGAATTGGGGAGTGGAAAGCTCCTGGATGATTGAGAGCTCCTCTTCTCTGAGCTCCAGACTTTTTCTGAGGAAGACCTCCATCATAATATCCCAAGAAGTTTACATTATACTTTTCACGCTCCTTAGCAAGCTGCTTAATTCTGTATTCAGCGTAGGATCCCCTCATGGGAGTTGGACTAGGAACATGGCCCGATCTGTCTCTCATCTTCCTGTTCTTAGCCATAGTTTCAGACTTGACTTTAGCCAATTCTGCAGACTCTTGTTTCTGATGGCTGATGTCATAGTCCATTTTACTTTCCTGAATGCTCAAGACTGCATAAGCTTCAGCTATTTCTCTGAACTTCTCAGCACTTGGCTCATGAGTTTTACCAGAAAGATTGACATCTGGATGGTACCTCTTAGCAAGCTTTCTATAAGCATCTTTGATCTGCTCATCAGTGGCATCAGAAGTGAGACCAAGTACTTTATAGTAACAGGTCTTTGGCGGATTGCTCGGAACGTAGGAGAAAGCTATGCATAAAATTAGACCAAAACTATAATTATGGCTTACATCTGGTAGAGAATTTAAATAAATTAGTGCCTCTGAAGAGTATTTGCCTGTTCAGCATTTTGAACAAATATAATTATTATAATTTGTATAAATTATAGAAGGGGTTTTGGGGTTTTGGGGTTTTGGGGTTTTGGGG